CCCCCCCCCCCCCCCGCAACTCCTGCGCTTTGTCGAAAGTCAAAGCACCCACCTGATCCTGGTTTGACCATACAAAGCCCTCATCCCCCACTTCCTTACGATCGCTAAGCCCATCACTAATAATCTATGCTGAGTCGTGAGATTCTCGCCTGCTATAAACTTAATCCATGCACATACTCCTATTGCACTTCCGGAGGAGTAGATAATCAATTTGAGTCTTGGCCAACGAACTCCTAAATGTAACCAAGTGCTCCTCACTTTTTGGAAAGCACGAGTTTGCAATCACCAAATCAAAGGCTTTAGCACAATCCAACAACGATGTACCCCCTCCGTTTCTAACTCCAACGCCAAAGCCGCCAGGCACGCCGTCATACTCTCCAGATGTCGCCCCAATGTGACCATTGAACTCCCCTCCTACGAATAACTTCTGGGTGAGCAGAATGCCACGTACCAACCCATCAAATTCTTTCTAGAAGCGCCTCTTAATCTCCTCTTCAAAACCCACTTGATGCGCGTAAGCACTAATCACATTTAAAGTAGACCCTCCCACGACCAGCTTAATAACCATCAGCCTGTCATTCACCCTTCTAATCGGATATTGCTTTATAACCCGAATGAGCTTTCGGGTCGACAGAAAACACATCCGTTTATTGGCAACTATTAACCAAAAATTGAGTTTTTGTTTTTGAAAAGTAATTAAGTGAGTAGACATCTTGTTCAAACATTAGTACCGAAAGTTCCATCAAATTTACGAATCCTTGTGCAAATTAATTTGAATCATTGAGTGGATAGTTTACAATGTTTTATGATATTGTGTGGAATTAGACTGAACTAGAGCTTTTGCTTAAAGAATTCAATGTCCCGCTAGTTTTCTTCTGAATATTAAATATTAGAGAGTACTAATGCATTACGATTTTATTCGACGTAAAATTATCTTTGTGAAAGATAATATAAACTGAATCCCAATAAACTTGAATTTCTTCCACGTGATTTAGGTTTGGTCGTGCGTTGTAAATATAATCCTTTAGTCCTTCCATTGTGTATGGGTCCAAATTTGGATAACCACGACCACGACCATAGACGAGCACGACCAACGGCGAGGTCCTCGCAGCTTAACATGACTCTGATACAAGGTGCTAAGGAGATTCCTTGGAGGGGGCCCAGGAATATGTTTTGTAGGACCCAGAAGGGGTTTGTCCCTTCTATACAATGGGGGGAATAACTTTGTAAATAGGGGCTTCTTTTTCTTTTCTCTCTCTATCGGTAACATCTCTAAGAGACAGCGACGATTGTAATATTTTTCGATAAGCATTTTCTAACATCCAATCACAGATCTTCATGAGATTAAACAATTTTTTTATGTTCATTGCCTATCTTCTTTCGTTCTAAGTGATTATTATTCTTTGCTAAGATTTACCCTTTCATTTTTATTGATTGATTTGTTCAAAAAAGGTTGTGACATCTTTTGATACAAATAATTTGGCGCCGTCTGTGGGGATTTCTATAGCCAAGATTTTAGCTTCGCCTAGATCACCGAAAGAAGTAAACACCTATTCTCAACCTCGCGAAGTTCAGCAATGGCAGGAAAGGGTAAGACAAGATCAAAGGCGATAGTACACGTCACGAACAACCAGCTAGGCTCCATCAACGAAGCCGGCAGGGAAAACAATGAAAGCGTAACGCCAAGTGTTACACTCGAGGAAAATAAAGTGTCCACCCCTCATGAAAGCGTGATTATCTCACGCGAGATGGAAACCTCAACGTCCGCAGTAGGAGAAGCACCACCAGCTGTGAAGAGACTATTAGAGGAATGGCTGACAAACACCTTGAGCAGCATACTGGACAAACCCACTCAAAGGAATATCGGAGGCTCAATACACGCAGAAACTGCAGTTGTCGCCGATGAGACGGAAACTCCAATCGTAGGTAACACTCATATTGTCGTTGATGCAGGTAATGATGCAATCACGACCATTCTAAAGAAAATGGAAGATATAGAGAACGAGAACAAAACACTCCATGATCAGATGAAAGAACATCAGGAAAGAGTCGATAAAATACCGGGCGCTCCGAAGTTGCTACCAAAACGTGATGCAGGTCGATTCGTCGAGCAGCCGTATATTGAAGGAGCAGCCCCCCACGCTATCCCGAAAACATTCAAAATGCCGCCTTATTTAAAAATATACGATGGAACCACGGATCCGGAGGATCACCTGATTCACTATGTCACCGCGGTAAAAGGCAACGATCTGTGAAAAGAACAAGTTCCCTCGGTACTATTGAAAAAATTTGGCGAAACTCTGACAGGGGGAGCACTGACACGGTACTCCCAACTACCAGCGAGGTCAATATCGACATTCGAAGAAATGGTAGATAGGTTCGTAACCGCCCATGCAGGAGCGAAAAAGGCGGAAGCCAAAGTAAATGACATCTTCGCCGTCAGACAAATGATGGGCGAGGGACTTCGAGACTTCCTAGCCAAATTTAACAGGGTAAGAATGAGCCTACCCAACGTTTCGGATGGAATGGCGGTGACAGCCTTCTAGAATGGGTTAAACAGAAGCGGGTTGAAAGCAACCAAAAAATTATTGAGCAGGCTCATGAAATACCCTCCCACTACATGGGAAGAAATCCATAACGCCTATTGTGCCGAAGTAAGAGCGGATGAGGAAGACTTGAATGGAACGCTCCAACGGTTAACATCGGTCCAGACCTAAGCAAGGAGGGAGCACCGTATCGACGGGCGGAGGGATCAACCATCCCGTTTCAATCGAGAAAGGCATCAGCCTTACATCCGGGCGTCCATCCCACCACTACCACGACAAGCAGAGGTCACGCCCCGATATACCGGGCCACACCGAAACGAAAGAGGTATGCCTCCATTGCTTTCCGCTCATAACTTTTGCGTTTCTCCTTCAGAAATAGTATATGCACTGGAAAAGCTCGGCACAAAGGTGCAGTGGCCGCAAAAGATGAAGTCGGACCCGAGCACCCGGAGATCGAACGTTCTGTGTGAATTCCACCAGGAAAAGGGACACAAAACCAAAGACTGCATAGGTCTGCGGCAAGAAGTAGTAAGAATGTTAAACCAGGGCACCTGAAAGAACTGCTAAGCGACCGAGGACGAACCAACATCGCACGAGGACGCGATCAACCTCAAGGACCACCGATGCTGCCCTCGCCAGCCCGTATCATACAAATGATCATCGGAGGCAGCGACGATGCAGCAATCAACCATGTGAAATTCACCACCACACATAAACTCAAGCGGACAATCACCCAAGAACGGTATGACGACTTCGAAGATAGTATCATCTTCGATAAGTCGGATGCCAATGGTTTGTCTTTCCCTCACTATGATGCTTTAGTTATAACCTTACGTATTGCTGATACTGATGTGAAAAGAATAATGGTTGACGACGGGAGTGGCGCATGTATCATCTATCCCAGAGTCATCTCACAGATGAGACTCGAGGATAAGACAATACCTCGTTGCATAACACTAACGGGTTTTAACAATGCAGTGGAACGAACCTCGGGAGAAATAATGTTGCCCGTTTTGGCAGGAGGGGTCACCCTAAAAACGACGTTTCACGTCATAAACCAAGAAACAGCCTACAACGCTATCATAGGGCATCCGTGGATACATGCCATGCGAGCCATCCCGTCCAGTTTCTATAAAGTAATCAAATTTCCTACCCCATGGGGGACATTTAGCATCCGATGCGAGCAACGCACCGCCCAAGAATGCTACCGCATCGCCCAGGATTGCACACACACCAAACAACTTCAAGGGGCAAGTGCGGAAGCATAGCAATCATCCATGTCAGGAACCAAACCCGACATACAAATAGAGGCCATCAGAGATCCGGATGTCGTAGAAGACTGCAAGGCTACCATAGAAGACCTCGACCCCATCCAACTGGACAACACCGACGGCATGAAAAAGGCCTACATCGGACACAACCTCTCAGAACCAGGTAAATATCATGAGTTCTTAACTAATAATGCCGATTTGTTTGCCTTTTCCCATTCAGATATGCCAGGAATCCCGAGGGATATTGCCACACACAAGCTGAATGTCAATCCTCTTTACCCGCCGGTGCGACAAATGAGGAGAAAGTTCAATGCCGCCATCAACGAGGCGGTTAGCGAAGAGGTTGATAAGTTACTCGCCAATGGTTCCATCCGAGAGTCGAAATACCACCAATGGGTCGCCAATGTGGTCATGGTCAAAAAGAAGAACGGGAAATGGCGGATGTATGTTGACTTCACCGACCTAAACAAAGCATGCCCGAAAGATTCCTTCCGCTACCACATATCGACCAGGTCATCGATGCCACAGCGGGGCACGAACTATTAAGCTTCCTGGATGCCTACTCTGGTTACAACCAAATTCTTATGGCCGAAGAGGACCAATAAAAGACCACTTTTATCACTCAACGAGGAACGTACTGTTACAAGATAATGTCGTTCGGACTCAAGAACGCCGGGGCGATGTATCAAAGATTAGTCACCAAAATGTTCAAAGAACAGCTCGATAAGACCATGGAGGTGTACATCGATGACGTGCTAGTAAAATCAAAAAAGAAAGAGGATCACATCGGTCATCTGAAGGAACCCTTCGAGATTCTGAGGCAATACGGGATGAAATTGAACCCCGAAAAATGCGCCTTTGACGTAACCTCGGGAAAGTTCCTTGGTTTTCTGGTATCGCAAAGGGGCATCGAGGTCAACCCGGATCAGATTAGAGCCATCGAAGGAATACCAGAGACATTAACTCAAGAAACAAGTGCAGAAGTTAACAGGACGAATAGCCGCCCTGTCGAGGTTCATTTCACGATCATCAGACAGATGCCATAAATTCGTCAATGTGCTGAGGAAAGATCACAGATTGCAGTGGAATGCAGAGTGCATCGAAGCCCTGAGAAAGCTGAAAGCGTACCTATCCTCGCAGCCACTACTCGTCAAGGCAGACCGAGGTGAATGCCTACTAGTATACCTGGCAGTCTCCGAAGTCGCGGTAAGTGCAGTCTTGATCCACGAAAACAAAGGTACGCAATCTCCGATTTACTATATCAGCAAAACCTTAATTGATGCTGAAACAAGGTACCCACACCTTGAGAAACTAGCTTTGGCACTAGTCGTAGCTTCACGAAAGCTTAGACTATATTTTAAATGTCACCCCATAAAAGTGGTGACAATCTTCCCCCTCAAGGGCATCTTACACAAACTCGAATTATCGGGTAGATTGGCTAAATGGGCCATAGAATTAAGCGAGCACGACATAACATACAAACCGCGAAGTGCCATTAAGTCGCAAGTGCTCGCCGATTTCATCGCTGATTTCAGCGCCAAAATATTGCCTGAAGTAGAGCAGGAGGCGCTCCGCGCTTCCGCACATTCCGACCTTTGGGTCCTCTACACTGACGGCGCATCTAATGCATCGGGATCGGGATAGGGACTCGTCCTCGAGGTTCCTACGGGCGAAGTAATTCGCCAGTCCATACGATGCCCCGAGATGACTAACAACGAGGCCGAGTATGAAGCTTTGATTGCACGGTTGAAATTAGCCCTCAAATATGGTGCTCGACGACTCGTCCTCCATTGCGACTCTCAACTCGTAGTGAACCAAGTCACCGGGACTTTCCAAATCAAAGAACAAACACTACAAAAGTACCAGTCAGAAATTCACAAACTGCTGCCAGAATTCGATGAATGTCGCCTCAACCAAATACTTAGGGCGCAAAATATCGAAGCAGATGGCCTCGCCAAGCTAGCAGCCACCACCAAAAACATCAACAAGGAAAACGTGGTCACCCTTATACATTACGCCATAGACCAAGTCGAGGTACATTCTGTAAACCTAACCTGGGACTAGCGCAACCGTCTCGTAACATATTTGCAGGATGGAACGCTTCCACAAGATAAGAAAGAAACCAAAAAGCTCCGAATACAGGAAGCCAGATACAGTCTCGTAAACGGTGATATCTACAAGAGAACGTTCGGCGGCCCCTTGGACAAATGTCTTGGGCCAAACCAAACAAGGCGAGTACTGGAAGAGGTACATGAGGGGCATTGCGACGCCCACACAGGAAATGGTGCCCTCGTCCGATGCCTCATCCGCGTCGGATACTACTGGCCACCATGAAAAAAGAAGCCGCGGACTATGTCAGGAAGTGTGAGCTGTGTCAAAAGTACGCCCCCATGATACACCAAGAAGGGGAACTCCTGCATTCCGTCACTTCGCCATGGCCATTCATGAAGTGGGGGATGGACATTGTCGGACCCCTCCCAGCAGGACGAGGTAAGGTACATTTCCTTTTGGTTTTAACTGATTATTTTTCTAAATGGGCGGAAGCAGGTGCATACACTCAAATACGCGAGCAAGAGGTCATCGCATTCATATGGAAAAATATAATATGTCGCTTCGGCATCCCCAAAGAAATCAACTGTGACAACGGACCTCAATTCGTCGGAAAGAAAACGACTGAATTTTTCAAAAAATGGCACATCAAACGTATACTCTCCACACTATACCACCCCGCCGACAATGGCCAAGCCGAATCTTCCAATAAGGTAATACTGAATATCTTGAAAAAGAAGCTCGAGGACGCCAAAGGGATATGGCCTGAACTACTAGCAGAATTACTATGGGCATACCGCACTACACCAAAAGCCAGCACAGGCGAGACGCCATATTCACTAGTCTACGGAACCGACGCAGTTATACCCGTCGAGTTCGGAGAGCCTAGCTTGAGATACTCCAGCGAGAGCGGACCAAACAACTACGAAAGTAGGCTACAGGATCTGGATGAAGTCGAAGAACGAAGAGACATGGCCCACATAAGAATGGTAGCCCAAAAGCAACAAGTAGAAAGGTATTACAACAAGAAGGCCAAAGTGCGACCGCTCAAGATCGGAGATTACATTCTTAAAGCTAAAACACAAGCAGCGAAGGACCCTAACGAGGGAAAGCTAGGAACAAATTGGGACGAACCATGCAATATCACGGCAGCAGCAAACAAAGGGCATTCTAGTTAGAGACAATGGAGGGAAAACTACTCCAAAACAATTGGAACGTCGCTCATCACAAATACTTCCACTTCTGAAGGGAGGCGCCACCTAAGTCGTACTCTTTTTCCCTCACCTGGGTTTTGTCACGATCGAGTTTTTCCAGTGAGGTTTTTAATGAGGCGGCAAGGGAGACGTCTCGAGGTTCGAAGTATTGTTCATTACCCCACCCGTCAACGTATTCTCCGGACAAAGTAATGAAGGGACTGGATATAGATATTCAAATCTCCATTGTATATGCAAAGTGGACATGTGATTCTTACAAGAATATAATCGAATCTCCATCGTATATGCAAAGTTGACATGTGATTCTTACAAGAATATATTCAAATCTCCATTGTAGATGCAAAGTCAACATGTGATTCTTACAAGAATACAATTAAAACTCCTGTATGAACAAAGTCGACAGGTATTTTCCCACGAGAATATGACCAAACCGCCACTATGAACATCCCAATGGCCAAGGCCATCGATGAAAATATGTTCGACTTCATTCGAACTGCGACGGGATCCTACTTCGACGACAGTTTGAAGCAACATCCCAATGGCCAAGGCCATCGATGAAAATGTGTTCGACTTCGCTCGAACTATGACGGGATCCTACTTCGACGACAGTTTGAAGCAACATCCCAATGGCCAAGGCCATCAACAAAAATGTGTTCGACTTCGTTCGAACTACGACGGGATCCTACTTCGACGACAGTTCGAAGCAACATCCCAATGGACAAGGCCATCGACGAAAATGTGTTCGACTTTGTTCGAACTACGACGGGATCCTACTTCGACGACAGTTCGAAGCAACATCCGAATGGCCAAGGCCATCGACAAAAATGTGTTCGACTTCATTTGAACTACGATGAGATCCTACTTCGACGACAGTTCGAAGCAATATCCCAATGGCTAAAGGCCATCGACAAAGCAAAATTCGCCCAAAAATTCGACAAGTATTCGAGAAACCATAAATACTATAAAGGTCACCACCAAAACAATTTCATCATTTACAACAAAAGTCACTAACGCCTATCTTCACGATGGGCTCAAGCACGCCCAAACAAAAACCTTGAAACAAAAATAATTACAAAATTACACATCACCCTCAGTGGGGTAGGCATCCTCATACCAAGAGTCGTAGGTAAGGCGGTTTGCATCATCAAAGATGACTTCATCCCCATCAGGCGTACGGGGGTCGTACCCACATGTCTCACGAGCTGAACGAGCTTCGGCGCGGACACCCTGAAGTTCAGTTTCAGACGCCTGCCCTTTTGTAAAAAGAGCCTTATATATTTCGAGCTGGGCCTCAGCATAAACCCACAACTCGTATGCACGATGAGGTACGATAGGCTCGACCAAAGTACGGGAAGTAGAAGGATGATGGCGTCGATTCGCATCCTCCGTCCTCAAGACGGATAACTCAGCCTCCAACTCCTTGATACGGCCCTCAAGACCTACCACTTTGAGTGCAGAAGTCTCTTTTTCTTTGGACCGCTCCGACCTACAGGTACGAAGGGTATCCTCCAAAATCGCCGCTTCAGAAATGGTGGCCACCAGTCTGTCAGCATCCACATTCAGCTCACTCCTAAGCTCATCAATCTTCGCCGACTTCGCGCTCAATTCACCAATCAAATCGGCCACCTTTGCATGCAGATCGGCATTCTCGGCCACAACGCCTCTACTTAACTCTAGCTCATCCTCAGTCGCCTTAAGAGACGCTTCGAGCTCACTACTACGGGCGATGGCTCT